GCCTAAGCGCGTCACCTCCTTTTCAGGGGTACGCATGGGGAGACTTCAGCCACGCCATCGCAAAACGCAGTAGCCGGGGTCGTCAGAAGCTCGAAATTTGCCCGTTTAAGGCTCGAGCTCCACACTGGACATGTTACCCTCAAAGCTTTAGCTTTCCCTTTAGAGGGAGCGGAGGCGCCACCCATAGAAGCTGATGGCTGCGAGTTATTAGACGCCATGGCAAAGAGAGAGAGGTGGGCAGAAAAGCGAGTCTTGGAGGAGAACCGGGTGCAACGCCGAAGCAGGTAACGCGCGGGCAAAAAACCGCTATTATGCCCCGTAACCTTAGGAGGAAAGGCGCCTTAGACGCCTTGAAACGGATAAACCTACATCGCAAATAAAGAATAAGACGAAAGAGGGGGAAGCACCGCTCGAGCAGGGAAACAAACAAACACTCGGTGAGCGCGTTCAAACAAAGGAGGAGGTAGCGCGCAGAGTCTCCTGATAGAGCAACTGTCAGGAAAATGAGAAGCTTAAACACGGCGCCTAACAAAAGCTCGGAGGGTGGCGCTCAAACAAGCAAGAGAGTTCAGAAAAGGAAAAATCTTGTAACAAAGACGGGGAGGCGCCTCCCCCAATTAAAGAAAAGGCACACGATGGCGCCGCCCCTGGTTCAAAGTTTCGCAAGGGTGTCGCCTAAGAAAGATTAAGCAGAGATTACCTACGCAAGTTCCGGAAGCGCTCAGCAAATGGAAGGAACGGCACCTGAGAAAAAAATACATAATTGTAGAAACAAGGCAGAGGCGCCTCCCCCAATTGAAGAAGAGGCGAACGACGACGCCACCCCTAGTTCAAAAATTGTAAAGGGTGGCGCCTAGGAAGAACAAAGCGGAACTCACCTACGCAAGCTCCGGAGGCGCTCAGCGAATGGAGGAACGACACCTGAGAAAATACAATTTTAGAAACGATGAGGCAGAGGCGCCTCCCCCAATTGAAGAAAAGGCGAACGACGGCGCCACCCCTAGTTCAAAAATTGTAAAGGGTGGCATCTAGGAAAAACAAAGCGGAACCCACCTACGCGAGATCCGAAGGCGCCCAGCGAATGGAGGAACGACACATGAGAAAATACATAATTTTAGAAACGAGGAGGCAGAGGTGCCTCCCCCAATTGAAGAAAAGTCGAACGACGACGCCATCCCTAGTTCAAAAATTGTAAAGGATGACGCATAGGAAAAACAAAGCGGAACTCACCTATGCGAGATCCAAAGGCGCCCAGCGGATGGAAGGAGTGCTGCCTGAGAAGGGCCAATAATTTATAGACAAGGGCGGAGGCGCCTCCCATGATTGAAGAGGAGGACACATGGCAAACGACGGCGCCACCCCTAGTTCAAAAATTGTAAAGGGTGGCGCCTAGGAAAAACAAAGCAGAACTCACCTATGCGAGATCCGAAGGCGCCTAGCGGATGGAAAGAGCGTTGCCTGAAAAGGACAAATAATTTTAGAGACAAGGGCGCGAAGGCGCCTCCCCCGATTGTAAAGGGTGGCGCCTAGGAAAAACAAAGCGGAACTCACCTACGCGAGATCCGAAAGCGCCCAGCGGATGGAAGGAGCGTTGCCTGAAAAGGGCCAACAATTTATAGACAAGGGCGCGGAGGCGCCTCCCCCGATTGAAGAGGAGGACACATGGCGAACAACGGCGCCACCCCTAGTTCAAAAATTGTAAAGGGTGGCGCCTAGGAAAAACAAAGCGGAACTCACCTACGCGAGATCCGAAGGCGCCTAGCGGATGGAAGGAGCGTTGCCTGAAAAGGATCAATAATTTTAGAGACAAGGGCGCAGAGGCGTCTCCCCCGATTGAAGAAGAGGACACACGGCATCGCAATCCCTAATTCAAAAATTGTAAAGGGTGGCGCCTAGGAAGGGAGGGTAGCGCTTGCAAAAAAATTAGGCACGAAATAAGCTACCTGAAGCAAGGGGGTAGCATCGGCAAAGGAGTGAGTCTCCAGGCACTCAACTGAAGGTTAGACACCTTGCTGAAGGAGTAAGGTGTCAGGCGCCCAACTAAATGTCAGACACCTCGACAAAGGAGCAAGTCTCCATGTGCCTCACTGAAGGTTAGACACCTCGCTGAAGGAGTGAGGTGTCAGGCGCTGCACTGAAGGTTAGACACCTCGTTGAAGGAGTGCGGTGCCAGGCGCCTCGCTGAAGGAGTGAGGTGACAGGCGCCCAACTAAATGTCAACACCTAGGCAAAGGAGCGAGTCGCTAGGCACCTCACCAAAGGAGTGAGGTGTCAGCCGCCGTATCAAAGGTCAGGCACCTCGACAAAGGAGCGAGTCACCAGGTGCCCCACTGAAGGTCAGACACCTCGTCGAAGTAGTGTGGTGTCAGGCGCCCAACTGAAGGTCAGGCACCTCGGATAATACTTGGAGAAGGTCTACAAGAAGAGTAGTGACACTGAAGGTCAGGCACCTCGCTGAAGGAGTGAGGTGCCAGGCGCCCAACTGAAGGTCAGAGACCTTGGCAAATGAGCGAGTCGCCAGTCACCTCGTTGACTTTGTGTCTTAAGGTAACAAACGACAAGCTGGATGACAAATGCTTATCAAAGACATAAGCGAAGGAGTGAGGCGCCAGGCACCCCACTGAAGGTCAGGCACCTCACTCTTCAGTGAGGTGCCAGGCGCCCAACTGAAGGTCATACACCTCGGCAAAGGAGCGAGTCGCCAGACATCTCAGACAAGTGATTAGCTAAAGAATCGAAGCAAGCACTCTTCTACAAGAGCACAAGTAATCGAAAGAAAAATGTAGCATCTCAGACAATGAATGGAAAGTATTTGAATATCATTGGTATCTTTTGGCAAAAAGAAGAAAATGGGAAAAGAGCGCTAGGCGCTCGTTTCAAATGGGCAAGGCACAGGGTGTTCAAAGGAAAACTGACAAGTTTGTTTCAATTTCATATGATTGTCAAGATAGATTGAATCCTCTAACACGAGTGTAGGCGCATCCTCTAAGATGAAAAAGTGGTCACTTGGGAAATAATTGATGAAGAACGGAAGAATGCAAGCGTCAGGCGCTGGATAAAAGGGGCATGATTGCTTCTTTAGCTAGTCTTCGTTACTTGAGACATGTGTTTATTCTTTATCATTTTACTACATCTTATTTGGAAGCAAGCACACCCACGCGGGTGCACAAGCACTCAACAGATCAGAAGATTAATAAGGGAATGAAGCACCCGCTTGAAAGGAAGAGCCTGGTGCCGATTAAGTAAAGAAAGAGAGCTGGCACTTGATTGAGAAGACGAGAAAGCAAGGTTAGTGAAACACCCACTTTATGTTGACGCCGCCATGATACTCATACCGACGCCAAAGGGGCAATTGATAGGGTATGAAGGTAAAGTATAATACTTGGAGAAGGTCTACAAGAAGAGTCCAAGAGAAGCCAAGACATAGGGGCAAAACCCTGGAAGACTTACATCATCAGAAGAAGAAGACAAGGTTAAGAGACAAGAACAAGGGACAAAGCCAGGCACCTGACATCAGCAAAGACAGAGTATGAGGGGACACCCTCTGCCAAAAAGTACAATGTACAGTGTCAGAAGAGGACAGACTGGTTTGACGATACCGCAATACTTGCGCCATCGCCAAAAGGGGCAATTGATAGGGTACATTAGCAATCCCCAAGGCAAGAGTCTAGTTAATGACATAATGAAGAAAAGAAGACAAAGGGAAAAAGACAAGGCCAAGAGACAAGGAGACAAGTCCAGGCACCTTACATCAGCAAGGACTAGGGGCAGGGGGACACCCCCTGCCAAAAGTACAATGTACAGTGTCTGAGAGTCTGAGGCGCCCGACCACTGCATTTATGGCTTGGCAGGCGCCCAGACCACGACCTAACCCCCAAATGTGTATAAATAGGAGTTCTCTCCTCATAAATGGCAATCTATCTACTCTTACTCTAACTTCTCTCTACTTTCTCTCTCTATATACTTCTTCTCTTTTTCTACTTCGGACGAGGCGGGGCGCCTACCCCCTTAAGGTCATGGCTGACACCCCAAACCCCTTGGACCCGAGCGACCCCCAGTCGATTGGGCTCAAACAATTACTAATCGTTTATAGCTACCAATATGTGTATCTATGTGTATGTTTGGTTTGACTTATTTTTTGTTTTGAAAGCTGAAATTTGATTAAACATCTCTACAAAACTAAAAAAAAAGTATCATATAAAGGGTTAATATTATAAGACCCGAACTTTATAGTAAACGAGGATCATAGCCAATCTTTTCAGAAATGCCTATCATAGCCTAAACTATTACATATAAAAACTAGTTTGGCCCATACATAGGGATGACAGTTAAGTTGGACGGTTAACACCGTTAACTAACTAAGAATTAACTAAAAAGAAAAAGAAAAAACAAAAATCCAAATTTCTACTGCAACCTCTGAAACCTACTCCGGTGGCCACCACCCGCTAGAAGTTCCTCTTCTTCCTCCCAATCTCCGACCTCACCTAGCTCGCTATAGGTATCAATTGAAAGCTCAATTTCAGCATAGCCACATGAAATCAAGAAAAAAAATCATACGCATAGTTTTCTTTCATTTATATCATTTTAAAACTAAAATAAAATTTTAAAACAAAAAGAAAAAAATGTTATTTAAAATAGTAAAAATGAGTTTTTAATCATTGTAACTATTTTATATTCAAAATCCTTTTTAATCATTTTTCATAATTACTTATATTAAAAGGTACTTTTAATAGTTTATTAACAATACTTTTTAAGTATTCTTTTGGGAATTTTTTTTAAGGCCAAACTACAACAATAACTCGAGAGTGATAGAAAGGCGATGAACAAAATAAACTAACCGGCAAACCTCCATTAGTTAGAGTACCCCTAAACACTCAACAAGAATACTTATAAATTTGCTATCAAAACACACACAAACAACCACAATCACCTTTCCAAAGATCACAACACTTAAGCTACCTTAGTCACAAAACGACGATGTTTCACCGTCATCCTTACTTCTCCATCCTCCTCTCCGCCATCTTGCTCTCACATCTCCACTCCACCCAACCCGCGGATTTCTGCGTGGGCGCGTGGCCGATCTGACCAGCCGGACCACAACCGGCTACACGTGCAAGAACCCGACCAACGTCACCGCCGACGACTTCGTGCTCACCACCCTGGTCCGCGGCGGCAACACCACCAACATCAACAAGGCCGCCGCCGTCCCGGCCTTCGTCCAGCAGTTCCCGGGCCTGAACGGGCTGGGCCTGGCTGTACGTAGCCCGGGCCGACATCGAGCCCGGTGGCGCGATCCCGCTCCACACCCACCCGGCAGCCTCGAAGATGGTCTACGTGGCGGAAAGGTCCGTCACGGCCGGGTTCATCTCCGGGGCGCCGGCCAACGTGGTGTATGTGAAGAAGCTGAACAAGGGGGAAGTGATGGTTTTCCCGCAGGGGTGGTGAGCTCGGCGCTTTTTGGCAACGACTTCTCGTCGTTTTTGGTGGAGAAGACGACGAATATTGATGAAGCTGAGGTGAAGAAGCTCAAAGCTCTTCTTGGTGGTTCTGGCTAGGTTATATATATATATATATATATATATATATATGGGGAGTTCTACGGTATCCAAGGTAAAATCTAGGGTACCACATACAGTGAGTATGAAAACGCTATTCAGACAATGAATTGACTGATTTTTCGGACATAATACTATACTCTATCCCTTAAAGATCAAAATCTAGGTCTTAGTTCTCTAAATCTAATACTCCAAGATCAATTTAATTAGAATAATAATCGACGGTTATGATTCGTCTAAATAAAGGCAAAAAAAATGAATGCATCATCTTAGGGTTTATAGTTTATAATTTAGATAATTAGAAACTAGGGTTCACTTATTAAGGGTTAGGGTATAGTATCAGGTTCAAAAATCCTGCTAATTCAAGGTCTAGATAGCATTTTCATACTCAAGATATGCGGTACCCTAGATTTCATCCGGGGTACCGTAGAAGGCACCATATGTGTATATATATATCCAATTCGTTAACCAATATGTGGAATGATGATGACCTTTGTTGATGGTTTTTAGAGGGAAATAATCACTGTTTTCTATTTGCGACGTCACAAAAGTATACTCACCTGACTGCGGCTCGACTTATCTCTGGTTTGTTAAAGTGCGTCGGCGATTGGAGGTTTGGTTGGGGAAGTATCTCTCATTGGCTGGGCGCATTACTTTGTGTAATGCGGTGTTGGCTAGCCAACCTATTTATATGTTCAGCCTCTTCAGCGCCCCATGTTCTGTTATTGACACTTTGGAGAAACTTCAAAGGGATTTTATCTGGTCTGGTGGGCAGGGAGAGAAGAAGTTTCACCTTGTCTCCTGGGATTCGTGTAAAGCACCAAAGAGATATGGGGGTTTGGGGATTTCAGATTTGAGACTTCGTAATCAGTCCCTTTTGAGTAAATGGTGGTGGCGTTTCGCTCATGAGCGGGATGCTTGGTGGAGGAATCTTATCTCGATCAAGTTTCCCAATGCTTCTTCAGAATGGATGTCGGGGAAGCGATCGTGTCCTATTGGCACTAGCCTGTGGGCACAAATTATTAAGACAAAGAATATGTTTTGGAGATTTGCGTATGTTGAAGCAGGTGTTGGATCTAGTGTATCTCTCTGGCATGATGTGTGGATTAAGGGAAGACTGCTCGCTGATGATTTTCCGAGAGTCGCAGCTGCGGTTGAGGTGCCTAACTGCCGGGTTTCTGATGCTATCAACTTTTCAGAGGGGAGAGTTTCTTGGGATATTCCTCTTCGATTTACCTTGAGGGGAGGAGCAGAGAGAGAGAGAGTTTCACTTTTGAATCTACTTAATGGATTATCAACTGACAATTTCTGTGCAGGCCCTTCTAGACTTGTTTGGAGTCCTTCTCCAATCACAGGATTCACCGCTCGCTCATTCTATGGCGAGTACATCAAGGAGAAGTTTCCTGGCTCATCCTCTTTTCCCTACAGAGTCGTGTGGCAGCCTGCGGTTCCTCAAAAAGTCTGTGTGTTTTTGTGGATAGTGTTCCAAAAGAAGATCCTTACTCAGGATGCCCTCAAGCGGAGGGGTTGGGCTCTCCCGAGTCGATGCGTGTTGTGTGGTGATCAGGAGGAAACAATCGATCATCTTTTCCTTCTTTGCAGGTTCTCCAAGGAGGTTTGGCGGATTCTGTCAGCCTTCGTCGAGCTCAAGACCACTAGTAATGACATCACAGAGATGATAAGAAGGTGGCCTAGCCGACAGCCGTCCAATTCCAAGGAGTGGTGCACGATGGTTTCTCTTCATGCTTTTTGTTGGCGTATCTGGTTAGAGCGGAATTCCAGAATTTTCAAGGAAGAGTTCGTCTTAGGTCAAGTTGTTGTTTTCCGGATTGCTTACAGTATTGCCGAATGGTTGGGTGCTGCTCAGAAGGTTGGTAGGGAGGAAGCGAGCTGTTGGCTGCAAAATATTAAGTTTCGCCTGTTTCCCAGGAATGTTGAACCTCCCGCTTTGCCTCCGGTTGGAGCTGAAATTGGAGACCGTGAGGATGCCGATGTGCCTTGCTAAGCTTCTGCTCCCGTGTTTGTGTTGACTTCTGTTTGTGACAGGGCTTTGTGGTGAGGTTGGTCGCTGAAAGGACTTTGGGAGTTTCAAGGTTCAGAAGTTTGAGAGCTCTTTCTTTTTTCAGATACGTTTCGTTGGCGCATTTTCTTTTATTGGTGCACTTGGAGGGTAGCTATCTGCAGTAGTTTGTGCTGAGTTTATTTTGTAGTTTGCTGGTTGCTGGTTCTGGTTGTGTTTTCAAACTCTTAATCTTCAGTCTTTTTCGTTATTAATATTATTTCACCCTTATAAAAAAAAAAGTATACTCACCTCGTTAAATTTTCAGATTTAATTGTGGTGGAGATATATTTCATTCAGAAATATTTTTGTGTTTGTCTTTGGTAAGTTTATGTTGTTGTGGATCAAACTCGGTAAATATTTTTACAACATATGTGTGCAATTACTTTGTTTATTCTCTTTCTATTATCCAATTTTTATTGACATGATATTAGAATCACATATTCGATCAACAATCATGTTTCGTCCTTCTTCTGGTTCTTTCACCTCATGTTTCATATTTTAACACTCTGAATCACTACTCGAATTTGGTTAGGAGGGAAAATGGTAATATACAAATTATTTTTCTCTAAAAGTAATTAAATTAAAATTTAAGTTACAAGAGTGTCATTTTTTTTAACTTTTCAAGTTTATTTTAGTTATTTTATGAATAGGTTTGGATCATATATTTATATGTTGGCGTGCAGAATGAATGCACCTATTTGCAATTAGGGGTGGCTATACGGTCCGGTTCAGTTAAATTGGACCAAATTGATCCGGTCCCTGTCCGGTCTTTCGGGAATATAAGGACCAAAGATTGGATTGGATACAGTCCGGTCTTGACCCGGTCCGGTCCCAATTTGATCTTGATTTTAGGTGTTCGAGGTCTCTTATCCGGTCTTTATCCGGATTTTCTTACCTCAAATCTATGCTCGAATATGAGATTGGATTGTTTGTTATACGGTCCCAGTTCGGTCCCGATCCGGGTTATACGGTCCGGTTTCGCGTAAAACCAAACAGTCCAGACCAAATAGCCAACCCTATTTGCAATGAGATGGATTTTTTCCATATGCGTCACCAAAAATACCATGTATGATCATGGACAAATATCGACATTCATCATGTACAAGGTGAATTCATCAAAGCAAGATATATGGTCATTCAGATCTTTTTTGTTATAGAACATCTGGATGTATTCTTATTAATCACTCAAAGTTTAGGTACATTCAGACTAAAGAAGTTGAACAATAAAGGCAGGTGGACTATCTGGCCAGACTTCCCTTGTATCCCAACTGCAAAGCTTATGGGCCAGCATGTGGGCTATCTGGTTGCATTCTCTCTTGGCAAAAATCCAACTCACTTGACCCACCCGAGAAGCCTCTTCGAGGGTTGTCCACATGCTGGATTTTTGCCAAGAGGGTGGATCAAGTGAGTTGGATTTTTGCCAAGAAAGAATGCAACCAGATAGCCCACGGAGAGTGGAGACAGCGGATTAGGGATTGGTGGAGTGTTTGTCGAGGAGGAGAAGGCGGATAAGGGATTGCAGCCTCGGCTCGAGTCCGATATCCACGCCTTTCCCTTTTTTTTTGCCCGAAGTGCTCAAAACGGCGCCGTTTTGGTTTGGTGGAGACAGGATTCTCCGTGGCTTGGAATCATATAAAAACGGTCTGAAAACGCGATTTTATCCGATTTCACCGATTTTAATGACGCTTTTGACCGATTTTGAGTGAAAACGATTTTATTAGTTATTTGAAACGTTTTCCTTCCCTAGAAACTTAAAATCGTACGATTTTACGCTTTAAAGCGCGATTTTGACTGCACTGCTGGCATGTGATCTAATCTTCCAGACTTCCCATTCAACACCCTAGCATTTCCGAATAAATAACTCCAGTTGTCATTGGCCACAAAATGATCTAGGCGTTCCTCAATATACCCATCAATTTCGCGTCGGTTTTCCCAGGTACAAGGATACCCTTCAAAACCCATATCATGCAATCCAACATCCACAAGGCAGTCATCAAACGGTGCCATCTCAGCTTCATTAGCGTCATGTCCACCCTTCTTTTCATTATTTGTAGCACTTGGTTATAGTCGGCACCGCATATCCACAGTCATGTCCACTGGTCCGCTAACCTTTGTAGCAGTTCCCACATCTGAAATTTCTCTCTCGAGTCTGGCCACCCATATATACCCGTGAATCTCTAAATAGTATCACGACCTTCCTCAATCTTTGCATCCAGAAAATGGAGCGACCCATCCATCACCGTCAAATTCACCTCTTCCTTACACCATAGACAAAGACCGCCCGCCTTACCCCCATTGGAAGTGTCAGCCAGCCAGCTCTTGGCTTTTCTAAAACCCAAGCTCTCTCTCGTTACATCATTCTCATCCTCCAGTTTTCTTGTCTCCATTAGGAAGACCACATACGGAGAAATTTGTCAGAGAAGCGGCTTCAAATCTCTAACTAACCGTGTGTTTCCCAGGCTACAGCAGTTATAGCTAAGCAGCCTCATCTATCGACCTAAGGGGATAGGTTCCCCGCACCTTCTGCTTGTTTTTGTGGGTTCCCGATCGTTACCCCTTCCTTCCGGCCACGTTCTTTCCCTTCTACTCCACTTGTATGTCCCTTCTTATCAGTTCTCTTAGGGGGGCTCCTTCTTTGTTCCCTCTTTAGCTTTCGTCCCAGTCTTATCTTCTCATGTTCCCTGTACATTTTTGGAATGAGTTGGTACCACCTTTTGCCCCCCCCCCCCCCCCCGCCAGAGCTCGAGATCCTCCAAGTTTCCCCCTCCCATATTTTCCCATCACATTCTTCTACCTAGCAGGTAGTTGTGCCTCCGTATGAGCCTTATCACTAGGTTTTCTCGTAGTCATATTGACATCATCATTTATCTTTTCTTGAGTATCATTGTTATGCCCATTTAGAGCCGAGTAGCGATTTTGTGCTATGGGGCCCACACCC